GTTGCAAGGGCTGCCTGGGTATCCCACATCTGGGCATCCCTGCAGCTCCCTTCTTCAGCTGGTGTGAGCTCGGCAATGAAGTCTGTCAGGGCTTGTGCTTTGATGGCTGTCCTTGGTTGGTACTGAATGTAGAACTCCCCGAGTTACACTTCCCATTTAAGAAGTCTGTCGGATACGTCTGGCTTTCCCAAGATTCTTTTAAGAGGTTGGTCTGTGATGACCATTATGCTGTGACTCTGAAAGTAGTGTCGTAGTCGTCTTGCCGTTGTGATCAAGGCGAGCGCCAATTTTTCTAATCCCGAATATCTGATCTCTGCCCCCGGTATGCCCTGCTTACGTAATAAATTGACTTCTGCACTCCATTATCATATTTGATGAGTACTGAGCTTACTGCTGATGAGGAAGCAGAAAGATATAGATGGAGAATTTCTCCCGGAGTGGCATGTGATAGGAGGGGAGGTGTGGCTAGGTAGACCTTGAGCCTTTGGAAGGCCTCCTCCGCCTCAGGTTCCCACTCAAAGGCCTTTCGGAGAATCTTGAAGAAAGGCAGACATTTGTCTGCAGATTTGGAAACAAACCTATTGAGTGCAGCGATTCTTCCATTTAGGCGCTGGAGCTCCTTGGTCGAGGAAGGTGACTTCATGTCGAGGATAGCCTTGATTTTATCGGGGTTCGCCTCAATTCCCCTCTGATTGACCATAAAGCCCAAGAATTTTTTAGACCCTACGTCGAAGGCGCACTTTTCAGGATTGAGCTGGACCTAAGGACATTGAAAGTTTCTTGGAGGTGATCAATGTGGTCTACTGCTACGAGACTTTTCACCAGCATGTCATCCACATACACCTCCATTTTTCGTCCGATCTGAGACTGAAATATCTTGTTCACCAACCATTGACAGGTTGCTCCTGCGTTCTTTAGTCTAAAGAGCATGACCCTGTAGCAATAAGTTCCCTTCGGAGTGATGAATGATGTTTTCTCTTGGTCTGGGGGGTACATGCTAATCTGGTTGTACCCAGAGTAAGCATCTAGGAAAGTGAGCAACTCATGCCCCGCGGTGGCGTCGATGAGGTCGATCCGTGACAGCGGGTAACAGTTTTTTGGGCACGCCTTGTTGAGTTTTGTGAAGTCGATGCAGGGACGCCACTTTCCATTAGTTTTAATGACCATCACCACGTTGGAGAGTCACTCAGGATACGCTACTTCCCTGACGGCCCCGTTATCTATTAGCTTTTCACCTCCTTATCCATAGCTTGGGCCCTTTCAGTGGAGGCACCCCTTAGCTTTTGGCGGACAGGCTTGTGGCGTGGGTCCACATTGAGACGGTGTGTGGCCACTTCTGGGTCAATTCCCTCAAGGTCTGCATGTGACCAAGCAAAGACGTCCATGTTACGTCTCAAAAAGTCTATTAGCCAGCCAACCAGGTCTTCAAAAAGGGAAGAGTCGATATATACTCTTCTGTCAGGGTGCTCCTTATCCAAGGCTGTAGAGGTGAGCTCCTCAACTGGTTCTCCTCTCTCTATTGTGGTGTCATCCCTCGGATCAAGGACCTCCACTTGCAACGCTTCCTGTGGCTTCCTGGTCTTCATGGATGAGACATAACACTCTCTCTTCGACTCCATTCGTGGTTAGAAAGCGAAGGATGAGGTGATAGGTGGAGGGCACAACTCTTAATGTGTAAAGAGCAGGTCGCCCCAATATGATATTGTAGGCTGATGGACAGTCTTTGACCAAGAAATTGACCATGAATGTGGAGCTCTGGGGCGACGCTCCGGCTATGACAGGTAGGGTGATGGACCCTAGGGAATATACCTTTTACCCTAAGAACCCAATGAGGGGTGATCTGATAGGCTGTAGTCTCTCTCTGCCCAGGTTGAGCTTGTCATAAGCCTCTGCGAAAAGGATATCCGCAGAGCTACCACTATCCACCAAGATCCTGCGTACCTGAAAATTGGTCACGGTCATGGTAAGCACCAGGGGGTTGTCATGGGGGTGCTGGATTGCCTCTGGGTCCTTATTTGAGAAAAATATGATCTTGTTGCCGCCTTGCTTTGGCATTTTGGATGGGCGTATCTCGTCGAGGTGTCTTGCCTTTCTGGCTTGGGCCTTTATTGCAGAGAGTGATTCTTCACCTCCAGCTAGTCCTCCCAAGATGGTGTGGATCTCCCCCATGGGCTGCTGGTCTTCTTGATTGTGAGGTGGTGGTGCTCATTCTCTGCCAGCAACATACTGACGTAGGTGGCCGCAGTGGATGAGTTCCTCAATTTGTCTTTTGAGGTCATAGCAATCGTCGGTGTCATGCCCATGGTTGCGGTGGAAATGACAGTACTTGTTAGGATTTCTGCGATTTGGAGGAGACATCATCTTTCCTGGCCACTTTATGGTGGGGTCATCCTGGATCTGGAATAGGATGTGCCCGACAGTGGCATTGAGGGGAGTGAAGGCTTGTCGGTCCCTTTGAGGAGTAGGACCTAGCCGGTCTTTGACAGGAACCCTCTTTGTTTTGCAGCGTTTGTTGCTAGTCTCCTTCTTGTCTTTTCTCTCTCTTTCCTTCCTTTTTTCCCTTGTTGCTCTGGAGGACTCACCTCGTCTGGCCCTAGTAATGTCCTCAACATTCATGTATTTCTGGGCCTTTGCTAGCAGTTTTGGCATGCTCTTTGGTGGGCACTTCATCACTGAGAAAAGGAAGCTTAACGAGCGGAGGTCTCCCAAGAAGGCAATCATCGTCACTTTGTCGTCGGGTTCATCAACTTGGAGTACCCCCTCGTTAAAATGAGTAAGGCTCCATGTCCTGCTTTATGCTAAGCAAATGGGTGACAGGCTTTCTGGTGGCGACGCCCCCCAATAAAATGTGATACGAATGACCTGCTCAGCTTAGCAAAGGAGGTTGGGAGGAGCTTAGCGAATCATTGTCGTGCGGATCCCTTCAATGTGGTTGGGAAGGCCTTGCACATAATTTCGTCTGGGATGTTGTGCAGCTGCATCAGAGTCTTGTAGGTGTCAAGGTGGTCTAGTGGATTTTTCGTTCCGTCAAAGGTCTCCATAGATGGCATTTTGAACTTTTATGGGAGGGGATAGTTCACCACGTCAGGTTTGAAGGGCGTGTCCGTACATCTTAACAGGTAGTATATTGTCTCGGGTCCCTGCGCCTTCATGGCATTGAAGACGTTTCCCAATTAATTTTGCACTTCCTTGATCTTCTCATCCCACTGGTTGGGGGGGGGGGGTCCTTTAAAGTGATCATTGAAATGACTCACATGCTCTATACTTTGGTTTGCGCCCTCATCCTCCTGAAAATAAGGGTCCTCACCATGGTAAGTAGGAGGAGGAGGAGGTGGAGGTGGAATTCCCTCATGATGGGCTCCCCTGTGTGGGGCGCCCAAGGGGACTCCAAGGGGGGCGCCTTAGTGTGGTGCAGCAAGGCGTGAAACTCCTTGATGCCCAGGGCGTGGAGCTCCTTGGAGTCCTCCATGTTGTGCACCTCCAAGTTACGCTCCCCCTCGTCCAACGAGCATAAGTTGCAGTATTTGTTGGTTTTGGACCACCAGCTGCTGCATGGTCTCCAACATTTGCTGTGGATTTGGAGCTGGAGCATTTGGGACATGGTTGGTGGGTGGAGGAGCAACCTCCTCCTTTCGTGATAGATTGCCTTCATGTTGGTTCATGGATCTGATTGTGATCGTCATTAGTTCAGCAAATGGAATGTTTAGGAGTGAGAATTTTGTCGTTTCCCACAGACAGCGCCAAACTGATGATGCACAAAATAGTTTTGCACACCACCTGTCAAGTGTGAATAATAAATCAAGAAAATAATATCGGGAGATGGAGAGACACAGACAATTTATAGTGGTTTGGTCAACTCGACCTACATCCACTCTTCAATGGCTCTGGTTGCCGAGTATTTTATTAACTCAAGGGTGTGGGGAGCAGAGAGTACAATCTTTGAAGGAGAGGAGAGAGTCGTGCTCAGGTGATGTGTGATGCCCCTCAACTGTTGGTGGAGTGTGCAATTTATAGTGGCCCCCTAACAGGTTGGGGTTATTTTACAGCAACTAAACAACTATTTCAGTGGAACTCACGACTTCTTCTCAACGGGCGAGATGGTTGAGATGTTCTCCATGAGATGCGGTCAAGATAAGGTGAGGGTGGACTGTTTTCTTGCCGGTGCAGGTAAGACTCCCGTGCTCTCTCTCTCTTGATGACGTAGCCGAACTGATGAGACTGGACTTGAACAATATTGGGCTTAGTGGGTCTTTATAAGACTGGACTCTTCAATTGAAGTTTGAATTTTCCAAATAAATTGAGTTTTTCTTGGGCTTGACCCATCACAAATAACATTTCTCAAAAATTTAAATAAGATATAAAAAGAGAGACGGGAGAAGAGATGAGAAAGGAATTAAAGACAAAAAGAGAGATAAAAGTGATAATAGGACGAAATAGAGATGTGAGAGAAAAGAGATTTAGTTAACAACAGGAGAGAGTTTGCGAAAACTCATAAATGTGCAAATTAAGATAACTAATATTATTGTCATTAAAAATTTTAAAAATAACAACTTAAGATCACACACGCACAAAACTAAGATTCAATTCCGACAAGGTCAAATATTGGCATAGTCAACAATTTTATGCGAACGTTTTATTTAAAAAAATTTCATTATAGATAAATTTATAATTTACAGAATGTATCAAGATTAATATTTGTACAATACTATTGAAAAATATTAGTTTAGCTTATAAAATAAAAAAATTGTTTTACACTTGTCATATTTTTATTAGGAATTTTTTTTTTAAAAAAAAATATTAAAATCTTAAAATATAACAGCCATCTGATGTTTAAATTCTTACGTCTGATTCTCAAACGTACCAGAGCCTCAACAGCATACCACCATGGACGAAAGAGCACGATTCGCATCTAGCTGTCCAATCAAAAAGGTGGTTCAACAAAATGCTCAAAATCCACATCCGGAAAACATAAAACGAGAGTCTAAAGAAAGAATAGGAAGCCAGAATCGAGTGTAATCATCTCCTTTTGTGCTCTTCTATATATACAAGCATAACATCAAGCACAAGGATAAAATCAAATGATATTTTACAGTGAGAGGTGGTAATAACCCACAAAGTAGGGGATATAAGGAATATTTCAAACATAAAACAACAATGATATTTACAATTAACAGAGAACAGATCTCAAGCGAAGCACAATTGAGTGGTTTTGGTCTGAACAAGAGAAGGCACTCAGAACCCCACTGGAGAATTTTGTATATATTCGATATGGCTCAACAAGACGAGCCCCCATTTTTAGAGAGCCTTCAAAACAAATTTGCTCGATGTATGAACCCCCATTGCAGCGAGTCTCAATACAGCACGAGTCTTGTACAACCTGAAAAGTGAATCTCAAGTGAGCACATCCAGATCTATTCCTACAACAACACTAATTTGTACCAGTATTGTACATCCTTTTTTATATAATGCAGGCATGTGGCCAGAGACGGAGTCAGAATTTTATTAAATGTGGAGAGGGTAAACAGTGGCACTGTTATAAATTTTATTCACTGGGGTCATCCAACAAGTCATTGTTACCATAAATTTTTTAGTCACGTATAACTGACAAAAAACAACCGTTGAATGATATCATCATAAAATTAGTGTTATAAAACCCGAGTTTTATTTAGTAATTAATTTTTGACAGTATCATAATCCACTATTCTCTCATTTGTGACTTGATGCAATAACTACGAGTAAATTCCCATTAGAAATAGTAGTTCCACACGATTAAAGTTAGTTGAGTCGGTGCAAAACTAGTGATATCAATAACGTAAGTCACCAGACTTTGCAACGTCTTCACTTTTTTTTTTCCTTGGGTTATCAACACGCATCTTTCTTTGTAAGAGTTGTGCTCATCTATAAGGTTGCAATATCTCCCATTTGGTTATTAATTATGAGGCCATTAAGCTGTTTGTATACACTAAATGAAGTACCCTATGTACATAAGAATATTTTTGAAAACTTAATGGGAAGCAAACCTAAGGAGGATATAGGGTATTTTTGAATATTTAAGGTCACAGGGTGGCTCCGTCCATGCAAGTGGCTAACAAGTTGAGACACATTTCTGCTAGGCATGTCAGAATTTGAAAATCCCATAAACATTATAACAGTTTGCCTTTGAATGCCCACACCAGGTTTTATGATAATGTTTAAACATAATCATAAACATTATCACTTTTTCTTACCAAGTAAATTAGTATGATTGTCAAAAGACACACAACTCACAATACTTCAAGCCTATAACTTAGAAACTTTAAACCTATGAACAGTGGGGACTCCAAACAACCATTCAGGGCAAACTTTTCTTCATCATGAATTACCAATTCATTAAATCTAAATCCAGAGCAATTTCAATCGAACAAGTCCACACAAGACTCTGTCCGATGCAGTCAAACATTCATGTTTATAGTGCATGAAAAACGTGTGACATTTTAATCGTTCAGACAAAAAATACATGACACGCCATCTTCAAAAATCAAAGATGGTGTGAATAGGTAATTCTGGAAAGTCAATACTTGTGCGGGCCAATGTTTAACTATGATCAATTTTAATGGCAGAAGGGAATTGAAGGTAAATTTCTCAAGAGCAAACAAAAAATTGCAAGAACAGTTAGAACTCACCCTGCTAGAGCAAGTCCCCAAGTGGACAGGGCACAAAACATCTTCCCAGCATGCCAAACATGTAACATCTTCTCAAACTTGTTCATGCCACCCAATGCTTTGGTCAGGGCTGCCAGTTCAAATTTTCATGTCATGAGACCAGACATTAGTATCAAATCACATCAATAATATATTCCTCTTAGTTTAATAAGGCACCCACCAGATATAATATTAATTGAAGTTACTCCTTTTAGTTTAATAATATATTCCACTTTGTACATGCACTACAGCACAAGCATTAACCTGATGAATTAAACTAATATAGTGAAAACAAATTGCACAAAATTTGAACAGATAAAGTCAAAACAGGCAATGGGACACTTGAATCTTGAAATTGAGTGTATTCTTATAATTATCCGGCATATTTTGTCCCCACTTATTCGTTCTATTTTGTAGAGACCATAAGAGGGATCATTTAAAAAGATATAACTTCCTTTTAATTTTCATGGATTCTTTATATGGCTAAAATGGACTCATCCTTTGATATTTCGACCTCTTAAAGATAAATCATAACTAAATGGGCTTTGCAAAACACATTGCAGTAGAGGATACGTTATTCTCATCTCCACTACGTTAGCTAGAATAAATAATCAGATGGGTTTTTGAACTTCCAAACATTTCAGGATGCAGCTTACATAGCTAATGGTGAAGGCAACTCCGTGAATGTGATATCTAGGACTACATATGTACCACAAATCATCGTGCTACGTCCGGCCTAATTAAAGAGATTACTCATCTCAGCACTCCATTGGATTTCAAGGATCCCCAGGTTCACAAATTACCAAGGCCATATATCATGAGGGAAATCATCTATGCTGCTGTGCACTCATCTATTTATTGTTTTGTCTGCCTTTTAGTGTATCTGCATGTTAGTCGTTCTAGTCCGTTCCTAATTTTGAAGGAGACTGTTGCTTCACTCTTATTTCAATAATCCCAACTTGTACAAAAAACCTGGGAAAAATAAGAGCATGATCCAATTGAAATGACCAAGGTCATTACAATGGTAGTTGTTCTACTACAAGATTAGCAGCATATAATAACAGGTTAAAGAAGTGAAGATCCCCAAACAAGAAGGATTATCTGATAATAGTAATGCCTGAGTTCCAGAAAATTTTTGAAAAAATAAAAATCAGAAACACAAGTAAATTCTCCAGGACCAAATCCAAAATATGATAGTTATTGGCATTAATATTTCCAAAAAAAATGACTGAGGAAAAAAGATAAAAGACATTAAGGCTACACCATTCTAATTGAGGATGTGGACACCGTTGCCTTGTTGCTCGCATCATGATTTTTCACTTTCTAGCATTTAGAGGACTTCTTGTCCTCTCATGTACCTTTTTCACTTTTATTATTAATAATATTCTCTTGTTTCCAATCAAAAAAGGTGACATTGTCTAGAAATGGAAAATCTTACTTATTCCATGAAAGGTTTTATCAGAGACAAAATGTTGACATTCCAGGGCAATATCATAATGTTCAGAACATAAAACTACACACTTACTCTTCTGCAGCGCCTCAGGTGTCATACTCTGCAAGTCCAAGTGACCAAAGCAATATGAGATTTCTTGTGTTTTATTCCATTAGAGAAAACAATAGCAAAACATTTAAGCATCATAAACCTGAGCTTTAGGGTTTGACAGCATGCATCTAGCCATAAAGTTGGCCACCCCATCCACCACATGTTCTTCACTAATAAGTACATAATTCTCATTATCGATTCCACTCCATTCTTCAACATTACTAGGAACCATTTCATCAGTAACCCACACCCACCAACTTGGTTCTTCAAGATCAACATTGATTAGAATTTCAGCCGACTGTTTATCAGCTCCTAAATAAACAACCAAAACAAAATAATCACGATTTTGTGACTAAGAAATAATTTTTAAGTGTAAGTATATGATTACGAGTATAACTGAATGTCATAAGATGGAAGGAACAAAAAAACTCCTTTGTTGTGGATCAAAATAAAAAGAAGAAACAAGAGAACCTGAGGCCTCCTTAAAAAGAAATTCGCAGCCAGTTCCATCAGCCGATTTCTCATGGAGGGATTTAAGTTGATTCAAGAAGCTAGTAGAATCGACTGTAGCCAAGAGACGGTCATGGAGCTGCCAAAATAAAAAAAATCCACTAATTTGAATTTGGTGCATTCTCCAAAATGAAAAAAAGGTGCATTCATACAAACAAAATTAATGAAAGCTATTCCAACCCAATAGATTCTGAGACAAATTCACCTTAGGAAAATGTAATACAGAATCCAAAGCATAGGTCAACGCCCAACACAAGTACGAGTTAAAGAAACATGACTCCAAATTAAATTCCACCATGTCATTGCCTAGTTTACTCACTGATGACCAGGGACCTCGCAAAAGGTGGATTGGGTATGAAACTACTCTGGAGCATTATTTGCACAAACTAGATAAGCTTATAGCTGAATCCATATCTTTGTGGTTGCTAGCCGATTCTGTCCGCATCTTATCTATATATAATCCCTAAAACTAAACTAGAGGGTCTTTTTTTTTTTTTTTCCTGCTAGATAACTAGAGGGGTTTGCCTTGGGGTAAATTATGTTCCGACCTAAATATTGATATTATTAGCTAAAAATGGCTCCGCTGAATTGCAATGCACAACCTTGTGTAAAATCGACACATTCCTTGCTTTAGATTCGACAACAAAACATGCAACATATCACTGCAATGAGACAAAAATTTGGGACCTGAAAACCCGCGAGACCATAGGGTTTTGATCTTGTTTGCGGCATATTTGCTAATATTGAAAAAACGCATGTAAACCTACATAATCCATTAATTCTATGCATATATATACTTTTTTGCAGAGGTAGAAACCACCAAGAAAATGTTGTAGTACCCAATTCAACAAAAATAACACGTAAATTCGATTCATAGAACAAATTCAAACGTAATATACGCACATCAGAAGGGCAATCTTGTAATAAACAAGGAGATTCGGAAAGATTCTGAAGGAGCTTGAGGTTCTGTTCGAGTAAGTTCCTCAGCCGTTGATTCTCAGCTCGCAGAGCCTCAAATTCTTCCTCCTCCGACAACGACGTCGTATCCCTAGAATCTCCATCACCCTCGTGATTTTCATGCGGGTCGCGGTGGTGGAGGTGCTGGCAACATTCCACGGCGGTCCATGCAACGTCGGCCACATCCAACACCGTCTTCGCCACCTCTATTGGGTTATGTCCGACCATGCTTATTTCTCTAAATTTCCCCTTCTCTCTGTGGAGTTTGGGAGTGATTTTGAGGTCGAAGAAACCCTAGATTATGGAACAGTCAGGGAGACTCGTGAAGGACGGGTTTGATTTCTTCGTCTTCGTTCTTGTCGATGATTGAAGCGTCTTTAATGTTCCGGGATATGACCACGTTTGGCAAAAGGTCATCCGCCAAATTTCGCCGTACAGTGCACGATAGGATGGGAGAAATCGGCAACTCCTTGTCCTTTTAGAAGCACCCGTGCTTTTTGCACGTGTGTTATTTTTTGTAATTTTTTTACAATATATTAAATTTAAGAAAGAATTACACTTAAACTCCTGAAATTTATCACTTATTCACTCAAACTCATAATATTTAAAATATTATATACAAACTCTACGAAGTTTTTGCGTGCATAACCCTTATATCTTTTGGTCAAATGTCCGCTCAGACCTTTTATAGTTTGTAAGCATATAATATTTAAATCTCTTAAGTTTAAAATATTATACTTTGACAAAAAAATATTTTAATCAAATATAAAATATAAAATATTTTAAATTTTACAATCAAAATTCATTTTCTATTGTCTCATTTATTTAAACAAAATAAAAAATAAAAGTCAATTTTTTTCTTAAAAAATTGTAATTAGTATACAATTATATTATCTATTGGATAAGAATCCTTGCATTTTTAAGCTCTAGACATTCTGTATGCATCCTGCGATTAATGTTTTATATAACCAGATTTGTCAAATTGTATCTACAAATATAATAGAAATTTTATGAAATAGCAAAGAGAGAACTCTTAAGAGACAATGAACTACCAAATATATTGGATTAGTACAACATATCATCAATACTAATAATTCTAGAGAAGGTACAAAATGTAACAGTAGCTAATGGTTACACGTAACCAGACCAAAAAAAAAAAAACTAACCATGTCATATTTATTTTGACGATCGTAGATTCAGACCAGGTCTAAGTTTAATTTATGGGTTAAGCCCAAATAATCAAAAAAAAGTCACATTTAACTCATAATCTCGGTCCAATCGAAAACTCAATAGTTCAAAAAGATCAACGCACGCGTGGAATAAACATCTGAATAGCTATTACTTAAAGATAACATGTATCCTTAATTATAGCTATCATCTCCGAAAGAATAGTAGTGTGATTTTCACGTTACCGCCTCAGATAAGGCTCTGTGCCTATAAATTATAAGTCTCTACACCTGAGATGGAGACATCTATTTATCATACAGAGATCTCACACACCTCACATTAAACATATTGTTGCACTCTCTCTCTCTTCTCTACTATTTTTTTACTCTCTTATTAGTAGAGTTTTTCGACTACCTTTACCACTTTCAATGGTTAGGTCAATCAGACCCAACCAACAAATCTTTATCTCTTATTATTAATTATTTTATTAATTGTTCTACATCACACACCAGACCGATTGATAGTAAATAAATCCACTTTTATTTATCATCCTATCTCATTAAAAGAGGCCTATCAATAAAGATACCACATCCCTTCTATTGGGATTTGATTGGTAAAACATTTGGGATATATAATATTAAAAACCCTCTTGCCAGAGATGAAGAAAATCTACATGAGGCATATCAAGGCTGCCAAAAATACACATGAGCTTTAAAATGGCTGGGCTGAGGGCCAAGCTCCTATTTTTAATAGAGTCAATATCATTAGATTTTGAATCAACTCATATCAAGGCAATCAGACAAAATAAAGGTGTATACTAAATGGTCAACCTACAAAGGTCTGAACTAGTGTATCCAACAATACAAAGAACTTCTTGCAGTATAAATTGGTTTGCCATACAGAAGAAAATCATCTAATACCTGGATCAAAGGAGATCAAATTTCCACCAATAATAAAGCTCATATTGGCAAATGTAATACCTGGATCAATGTGTTTTTGTTGGCACCAAGTAAGACCTCCTTCTTCAATGTGTGAGATTGAATGAAAGAATCAAGATGGTTGACCTTTTTGGACTTGGGGATCTACGATTGTTCTTGAAACTCTCTAGAAAACTTTGGGTCTTTTCTAATTCATTGAGGTTTATCTTAGGTTGAGAAAGACTCCCTCTATTCATAGGCAACAAATTAGAATTGTCTGGTTCATGCTTGACAGCTCAAGCAGTGGAAGGGCTAACAATCAGAGGGCAATACTTGCTGGAATGAAAATTGGATTCAAACCACGTTAGGGGGGCTTGGACCGCTCGAGCGGCTCAGAGGACGATTCCTGTTGCTCTTATCCTTTAGCCTTTCCCACTTTATTCTCTAAGTGTTGAGAGACCTTTCTAGCAAAAATTAGCAAACATAGGATGATCCCTACTTGTTTTTTAAGAGTAAAATCAAGCAAAAAACTAGCCAACTTGTACACTAAATGAAGTTGTTCAAATAAGGTCCAATAATGACTCAATCTATATTTTTAAAACACATTTAAAGTTAAGAAAATCTTTTGTTGAAAAACACCAAGGAGTTATATTCGGAACAATTACTTATTTTACTTTAACACTAATCATCCTAAGTCTAATGAATTAAACCAATGATAATCTTATGTCTTTAAGGCCATTTATCTTTGTCCTAAACAAGAAAGTGCATATAGAGCCTTTCTTTGATGCAGCTTGAAGAACAAACGCCTCCCTCCTTTTGTTGCTTTCGAATTTTCATCGTTGTAACTTCATGATCATGGAATGAGTTACGATTTACGTACAAATTTCACGAAATTAGTCAATTACAAAATATGTTCCAGACAAAAGGATTAATAAAACACTATTGTGCTTGATGATCGTGGATGATTGGCCTGTCAAATGCAATAAAATACATAAGATAAAATTAATGAAATAAAATATAATTTATGGATGCAATTGATTTAAAAAGATCAAGGAATATGAGAGAATTATGTATTCATTTAAGAAGATAAAAGGATATAAGTAGTATAAATTAAGACCAAAGAATCTAAACGGTTTAAGTGCTTAGTTTAAGAAGATAAAAGGATATGAGAGATACAAAGTTCTTATCATTTTTTTTGTTTTGTTTTGTAGGACACATTAGTAATTTGAAGGTTTAAATGGATGAGGATAGTATCAACATTAATCGTTTTGTTAATGTTATTATAATTAATCAAAAAATTTTAAATTTTATTGACATTTTATAGTAGTATAGATATAAATTTTTTACAAAAGTACTAAAAAACCCTTCAAAAATGTTGAAAATCCATTTAATTTCATGATGATATCCAAAAAAGTTCACAATTAAAATAATCAGTAATAAAGAGTAATGACTTCTTTTGGGTGTTGATTATTTACTTTATAATTTTTTATACATCCAACAAGTTCACAATTAAATAACCAATAGTAAAAATTCCAGTTATTAGTTTTTCCTGAAGACCTAAAACTCTAGTTGTTTGGACCAAAATGTCCTCAAAGGCATTTTTTGGGTTTGATTATTTTACTTATATATTACTGTTAAATAGTTTATTCATTTTCTCTTTTGAAGCTATTAAGTTGTATTATATTCCTGTAACTCTGTTAGGACAATCATATTTTGCTTATGTAATTTGTTCTAAATTATTTAAAACTCTATCATAAAAATATCTTATCCCAATTTATCTTTTCACATAGACATTTTTTTTTTAGTTACACATTTACGTATTATTCTCATATCACTTTGATTTATTCTAAAATCAAAAGAATTGAACACAACGATTGCCACCAATTTGTTTGATTTTTTTTTTTGTCTTCTTTTTTTTTTTGGTTAAGGGTCATAATGTATGGCCAAGTTCTGTGAAATTTTGTGACATCTAATCAGATTAGTTGATGGGACTCTTTTGAAAAAGCCTATGATGAAGACACGTGTCCTCGGGGGGGGGTTTCTAGAACAATGTTGCTCGGGTTCAAGCACCATCGGCAAAATCGTCCTCTCCCCCGAGGTACCTCTCATATAGGATCACATATTCGGTACAGTATACAATGACATGTGTTCTCGGTCACCATGTACCTCGGGAACACACCACCCCTTGATCCCCCGAGGTGGGCCTTTCCTCGGCGCCGAGGGTCACTCCATCCTGGATGCTTCCTCTACTCCCGGATAAAGCTACTGACAAACTGGACATCAGCCTATGCCAGTATGGACTATTCATCATGGCCTCTTCTTACACAAGTAATGTCAGAACGTGCTGGAATACCGACGTAACAGCCAATAAGGGATGGACATGTGGCAAATAATGTCACATCTGAAACAGACAAACCGCATGCCGCAGCTGGCACGCGACTTGGGAAAGCAAATAATTAATTACACCCTTCTGTTGACAAGACCGCATTTAATGCGGTAAGGTTCGGATATGAAAGGCAATAAATGCTCCTATTACAGAGCATTTATTGCATCCTTCCCGAAAGGAGCATATTGTACCGTCGGCGTCCCGACAACTCACCATTAATTGCTCGGGACCCCGAGCAGTCAATTAGAGAAGACATTCCTCATCAAATGATTACACACGCTACCTGTGCCTGATGATCACCTACTGACCACACTGACAGCAATCATGATCTTCTAAGGTATAAATACCCCTCCCAAAAGACAAAGCGGGTATGCAATCACAAACTCTCTACTACGAAATATTCTTCTCAGTGTTTTCTCCTTCCTCTCTCTCATTCAAAGACTGACTAGACCGTCGGAGGGGATACGCCGGAAAACACTCCGGCGCCCTTCTAACTTGTTCTCTTTTGTCCCAGGAAATACCTTTCGCACGTACAGGATCGTTCCTCCTTTCCCAGGATCGTAAGCTGTTTCGATCAGTGTGTTTGGCCACTCAATCGGCTCACCCAAAGTTCACCAGGGGAGAGATCTGTTCCCAATATTTTATATATATCGTGCAGGATCAAGCCCGCACAATCTGGCGCCGTCTGTGGGAAACGAGTAGTTTTCCTAATCTTTTCTCTATAAAAGAACAGTGACCATGGTGAACACCAGACAGAAAGGGAAAGGACCCCACCAACGGAGTCATGAGTTGCAAGCTCCCTGCCATCACGGAGGGAGGGATCGCACCAGTACGATTAAAAGTGCCTCTACTCGGTCAAGGGGGGTAACCCCTCAAACCAGTATGGGTATCAGGTCAGGAGGATCAGCCCCCTTGGCCCGTCAGCTGGCAGAGGTGATTGAAGAGAA